GATCCTCTTGCGTTTGACTCTGATCTTCTTCGAGTAATGCCTCTAATTCTTTGTCTTCGAATTTTTTTGGCTGTCCAGAGCGAAGCTTGTCTTCAACGCTGAAATCTCCATCCTTGAAACGTCGAAACCATTCCCTACATGATTTATCAGTTGGAGCAGTGTCACCATAAACTTCGACAAGCATTCGATGGGCTTCAGCTATATTTTTCTTCCAATTAAAGCAAAAAATCAGAACCTCCCGAAAATGCTGCTTGGTTAACACAAAATTCGACATTTCAAACACAGTAAAAATCAAGGTTTTGTATGAAACTCAAAGCGATATAAACTGAATATTATTAGCAGATGTCTAACCTCTCTGAAAACGTCAAAATCAGTTGTCACTATAAACCATTCACAACAGCCAGAACCAGCTTTTGGAAAATTAACTGAACTAGGTGAGGTGAAAAGTAACCTCCTTGGGAATGAAAAAAATTTTTTTCTTATGCAGAATCTCGCCCAAAATATGGCGTGTTCGCTCAGTACTAATCTTTGTAGCATCTGCTAGCTCGCGCACCTTCACTTTCCGGTCAGCCAACACCATTTCATGTATTTTTTTGACATTTTCCTCGGTAACCGCATCGGAGGGTCTGCCGCTGCGGACTTCATCGGTAGTGGAGTTGCGGCCACCACGAAACTCTCGAAACCAATATTTGACGGTGTAATCTGACGGAGTATTAGCCACATAATATTTATCCAACTTTTCTTTTGTTTCCTTCGCCGTTTTGCCTCTCAAAAAATAATGTTTTATGAGAGAACGAAAATCGTTTTCGCAAACACGTCAACAACAATCAGCTCTCAAAACAAAACTAAGGGCAGTATCGCACTGCCACTTGGCATGTCTGCCTAAATATGAACGGACTACAAGGCACCATAAACTTTTTTGCAGTAGTGGCGTATTCTGGCGGTCAAGGAGGTTACTTTTCACCCCATCGCTTGTTATGTTTTCGCGTTTACGGTTTTTTTGTAATCTCTATACGTAACCTTATACACATATCGTCACGGAGATGACGAGGCGGGCGGGATGTTCGAGATCGGCAATTCGGAAGAAAAGCAAGAATTCTTTCAGTCGACCGACATTAATTGTCATTGAACGCATGCATAAATTGAGCTCGTGATTTCATCTCGAGCATGATCTTAATCCTCATTAAAATCATCGAATTCGTCGATAATTTGTACTCCCAATAATATAAATTTTTCTCTATACCTTACACATTAGAAGATATTTCAGATGGTAATAGTTATTACCACCCCATATATAGTGTAGAATTATATGTATATTTTCACGCATACCTTATTGTATCAATCAAATCAAATATTGTAACGAGCAAATCCGAATAAAAATAGTACTAAATTATAATGGAAGAAAATGTATCAAATTATATAGAATAAAAATCTTATCAAATTATATAGAGGATCAAGCTATTTAGAATATATTTTTCTCGTATGTGTTTATCAAAATATTGTAGTGACTAGTATGATTATTTTAAAATATATTCAAAATATCATTGAATTATGCAATATGTAATATCAGTAAATTACATGATTATTTTCAAGTGTGTAGACTTATTGTAATAAGCATAATTAATATAATATTGTAATGACTATTTTTTAATCCATTAATAAATTGAAGTTCATTTTGAAACTTGTCAACTTTCAAGTTATTTAAGTACTTTCTGTTACATCCCGATAAAATCCTCTTATTCTTTATTGTAGATATACGATTTATATCTTATTTTTATCTTATCCCTAGGTTAATATTTCCCTATTTTATCTTTATTTCAAAACCGAAAATTCCTTTTCTCTTTTATAAGAGGGTATATTCAGTTTCTTTATTTAAACATTCAAACCAATAAATAGATATACGTTATATACTTTTATGCGTCATACAAATTATCTATAGATTATTCTAAAGAATGTCTAAAAATATCACACGATCTTTCTCAAAGAAACCCTCCTATAAAATAACAAATATAAAAGCGTACATTAACATTAGTAATAGTGTATATTATATTAGCGTTTAACGATTAAGTAATTAGCAGTAAAATAGAAATCTTCCTGAATGCGAGAGTGAATATCTTTTTTTTCCTTTTTCTCTTTCTAATAAAGTTAAATTAATTTTAAACATATGTACTGAATGTAGTGGATTTCGCCTCGCATAAAGGATATTAAGGAAAACCGAATTTTTATTACTACAAATTGTTAAAACTTAATTATTACTTATTAAGAATAAACTTGTAGAGTGGGGAGTAGGGCTTATGCGGAGCCTTGCTGCCTTATCTCAAGGAAAGCGCGAGTATAGGTTCTATCAAATTTTGAGGAGTGTCGATTGGTCCTGAAAGGACACTCCCACACTCATTTTCAAAATATAAACTGTCAAAAACAGTCAGTCAGTTAGTTAGTTACAATCAGTTAGTTACAGTCAGTCGGTTGGTTAGTTACAGTCAGTTAGCTACAGTTACAGTTATATAATCAAGATGAGAACTATCCTCGCGCTTCATCGGAACCTCACTTTTCTTTTTCGCATTATTTTACTTATCGCATTTACTTATTTTAATAAACGAAAATATTGAATCGAATCTATCGACGGAATCTCTAAATCTCTAATCTTCGGTTACATACAAGTACATATACATATATGGATATCCGAGGAGCTGTTGCGACTGTCGCTGCCAATAGTGTGGCCCCCGTTTTACGACGGTTCTCCGGAACATTATTATTGTAATTCTTTTTTTGCATTACCTCCATGCCTACCAAAGGCGGACGAAGACAAAGAGAAAAGAGATTAAGGTTCCAAATTAAATCGGCCAAAATTATTTCAAACCAAGATCCTTTCCCTATTTCCAAAAACTTGTGCAATTGCTAGATCAAGACAAACCGGTAGACTCACCCCGCGAATCTGTCTACACTCTAAGGAAATTGGAGGTCAACCTCACGTTTCCTAATTACAAAAACATTCTAAAAGGCGATCCACGTAGATTCGCCTATAAACTTCTCGATCTTTTTGGCACCGGATTCAAGATTACCCTTCCTATAAATTATCCGGTACTTCTCAGTGAACCAAATTTTTAACCGCACAACTTAATCTCCGATCCCCGAGTAAATTGTTTAAATACATTGACTCAAAAAACGGAGAAAATCTCAATAGCAACATTCGTCGTAACACTTTCATATTCGATTCTTTTTATAGGTTCTCATAGGTTAAAGGGATTCAATTCCTTGACCTAAATATAAAAGACCGATGAGCAAAAAAAAACTCTCGTTGTTTTAATGACCATTTAGTCCGTCAGTCTTTATTTTGAGACACTTGCACAGATGCGTTCGACACGTTTCCAAGCGTGAACCTATGAGTATCCGTTGTATCTCTTCCCATGCTCCCTCCTTTACCTTCTAATAAGTTCCATGAAATAAAAGAATTCTGGAGCATTGTTGTAACAGTACATTGAGATGACAAAATATAAGAATTTATTATTTTGCTAGTGAAATAGTTGTTTAACAGTAAATCAGTTTATCAGTAAATGCTTTCAATAAATGCTATGTAAATACTGTATTTCTATAATTCTATATTTAAATTTTAGAATTTATTTATCAAGTCAAAAACTCAGAAATTATAGGACTTTGGTAATACATAAAGGATGTCTTGATATAAATTTTTCTGCGCTACTGAATTTTATCTTCAGATAATAAAACAAAAATCAACTTGCAGGTTAATTTTACATCTCAGAATAATTTCGAGCAGCAAAAAATAGCTTAGTAGTAAAAAAAATTGCTTGTCGAAATACCTTTTATGTATCGCCAAAATTTTACAATTTTTTGAATTTCTGAGTAGGAAATTTTGACCTAATTGTGAGTGAATTGTAAATAATTCTTCGGCGAATCGTTGTTGCGATAGTATTTTAACGTTCGCGGGATGGAACACACGTGATAGTAACGGAAAATTTCTGATTTTTACCTGCAAAATTTGATCTCCTTCTCGTAACCGGCCATCTCGGGCTGCGAGACTTTCAGGAACTATTTCCGAGATATAAATCTCGGTGTCAAGGTCCTCACTGCCGGAACCAGAGCTATAGCATACAGTCAATCCAAGCTTCTCGGCGCTCCCGCTTTTTCGCAACGTCACCTCCTACAGCATTTTGCAATTACCATTAGTTAATGTTCGTTGCAGTAAATAATGTTCAGTAAAACTAAATACACTATATACTTATGTTTGCATGGAGTCTAACTTGTTAACAATGTTAACATGTTGACATTATGTCGTTCGACAAACATATTACAGAATAGTAAGATACGCTTTTGCATATAATGTAGCAGCACTTATAAGAGAAGATTCCTAACACGAAAATTACAGAAATTATGAAACTTTGGCAATACATAAAGAATATTATGATGTATATATAATAAACTATTTTTGATAAAAGTTTATCTTTACACAGTTCACCCCAAATGACTTTTTATCGACCTCAATGTTGACCTTGATCGTGAAGGAGATCAAGCTCATTGACTTTTTCTGTCGCTCGTTCATTAAAGTTATGAACAGAAGAATTTTATCGCTTCAGGTGAAAGTCATGCGCAGGAGGGGAGGTGAGATGAGAGTAGCTTCGGGTGAAAGTAGTGCGCCCCCAAACAGAGGGAAGTGACTCCCATCCCATCTCTTCTTCTGCTTGGAGGCGTGCGACTTTCACCCGAAACGATTAACATTTATAAAATTTAACGTTATATAAAATTTGATTGAAATTTTATTTTATTTTATTTTATTTTATTAAATAAATGTAAAAAGTGATAGCAAAGTCAAAAAATTGTTCTCATAATATGAGATGCCCCGAGAAATCGATAGTAAAACGCAAAGTATATCAGTATAGCAATTAAAAAACTTTATTTAATGTTTCTAAAATACAAACAATACACAGCCAGCGTGCACGAAAAATGACCATGCGATTATACCTAGAACTTGTCTCCAAGTAGTTGGAATCAAGCATCGCAGAAATTTATCTCGACATTTATTCCGGTTGTCTTCTTTATTATTATATTATACAATAACATTTATATTTTAGCAACGATATTTACTATAACATAAGAGCATGGGTTATTTCATATTACGATTTCCACGTCTTATGGTTATGATCATCCAAATCTAACTTCTATAATTAAACAATTCAACATATTTCATATTTTCTATTATAATTTAATCATAATAAAAAATTTTTTATTACTCTATTGTACTTCTAGAGTTCTCATTCGATTGCAATAATCTTCGAACAATACTTCAAATAGCAGTCAGAATTAAAAATTTTTTTTTTTAATTATTTTCTTAATCCAATTTGACACAATTACAGAATGCTATAATATGTGAAACCGAACAAAGATACAGTCAAAGAGATAAGATCGATTAAACGTGTAAGATAAGATATATGGAAAGGAAACATCATGAAGTGGTGGGAAAAAAGCCAGAAGAAAAAGAAAAATCATTAGAAAGGAAATAATAATTGTATAATAGAAAGATAGGAATCGGAAAGAGATTCTGTGTCGCTTTGTTTGTTCAATCCATTTTCCTGTTTTTTAATCTATACCATCTCCGAAATCAATTTTTTGTTATATGAAGGTATATTATCTAGAATTTTAATGTCATTCCATTGAAATTCATGATCATATGTCATGGTAGTCTGATATTACTGATGATGAATCCGCTTCTTGTTAATATCATTCGCATGTTCAGATATTTTAGTTTTTAATTGTTGTTTTGTTTGACCTACATATGTTGCATTGCAATTTTGACATGAGGTCTTATATACTATTTCTGATGTGATATATAATTCAAATTATCTTTGCTTCAAGTAATATATTTTGTTAGGGTGTTCAGTATGGTAAACGCTATTTTTTTATTTATACAGCCGCAACTGGAAAGAAAAATTTGGAAGTGGACTTTACATATGGAATCTTTATATTTACATATGGAACTTTACATATGGTTCCTTTACATATGGAACTGTAAAATATTTATCACTTTTAATACTATTTTTTTTTTATAATATGATTGACAGATCTATTACAAAAGTACCTAATTTTTGTATGTATCGTCGAAAAAATAAATTTCAATGGATTTGTTATTTAAAAAAATCTGAATCATTTCATTAAAATTTTTTGTATGAAACCTCCTCGTAAGATAGAATAATAATAAGCTAATAGAAGATTTCACTTATAAAAGACTGTTGAATACGGATGGCATTATTTCTAGATCTCACAAACTACCAAAAATTCATATAAAGAAAATTACGCATAATAGTATCGTAATTAAACAATCAATAACTCACTGCATAATCTTTTTACATAACGTTATCAAAAAAAGCATACCCGAGCTCCTAGCCACGTTGAAAATAGTTTCCATTTAGTAAACAAACTTAATGGAAATTATTTTGAGCCAAATTTAAAACTGACTTCTTTAGTATAATCTCGAATATAACCTCATTATTTACAAATGTACTATTATAATAGATTTAGTTATTGATAGTATTAACAAGAGATGGCAGTATATCTCAAAAACCACTTGCATGACTAAGGAGGAATTTTTTATTGCTATTAAGTTTGTTTTAAATTCAACAGTTTTTACTTTTAATAAAAAATATTACAAACAAATTTTCGGAACACCGATGAGATTTCAGTTATCTTCGATAATTGCAAACATAGTTTTAGAAGATTTGGAAGAGCTTACCATTCAATGGTTACCTTGCCAGTTAAACTTTTAGATATGTTAATGACATTCTTCTTTCAGCTCCTGGCGAGCATTTTGATTGGATATTAAATACATTTAACTCATTACATGAACGATCACAATTTACAATAGAAATTAGTTAAGGAGACAGACTGAACTTTTTAGATACAACATTATAAAAAAGAACAATCATTATAAAAAACAATAGGATGTATTCGATAGATATAAACAACTAACTTTCTTAGAAAGGTTTTTAAATTTCATTCTCGACATCCAATTTGTCATAGGAAAGGTGTCATTTACATATAGTAGACAGAATATTACTCTTGTAATATCAATGTTTCACACAGAAAATTTTAATGAAATAATTCAGATTATTTTAAACGACGGAATTATTTATTAAAATTTATTTTTTCAACGATACAAGAATTACATACTTTTATAATAGGTCTCTCAATCATATCATAAAAAAAATAGTATTAAAAGTAGGGATAAATATTTTACAGTTCCATAAAGTAAAGACCACCTCCGAATCTTTCTTTCCAGTTGTGGCTGGGATAAATAAAAAAATAGCGTTTACCATACTGAGCACCCTAACCAAATATATTACTTGAAGCAAAGATATATTTGAATTATATATCACATCAGAAAGTAGTATATAAGATCTCATGTCAAAACTGCAATGCAACATATATAGGTCAAACAAAATGACAATTAAAAACTAGAACATCCGAACATGCGAGTGATATTAACAAAAAACGGATTCACCATCAGTAATATCAGACCACCGGATGACATATGATCACGAATTTAAATGGAATGATGTTAAAATTCTAGATAATGAATCTTTATATAACAAAAGATTGATTTCGGAGATGGTATACATTAAAAAATAGGAAAATGGATTGAACGAACAAAGCGACACAGAATCTCTTTCCGATCCCTATCTTCCTATTATATAATTATTATTTCCTTTCTAATGATTTTTTTTTTTTTTCTGATTTTTTCTCCCACCATTTCATGATTTTCCTTCCATATACCTTATCTTGCACGTTTAACTCTCTTCACTTTGATTGTGTCTTTGTTCGGTTTCACATATTATAGCATTCTGTAATTGTGTCAAATTGGATTAAGAAAATAATAAAAAAAAAGTAATTTTTAATTCTCACTGTTGTTACTGTTTACAAACTATCGCAATCGAATAAAAACTCTAGAGGTACAATAGAATAATAATTATTGAAAAATAGTTCATTATTAAAACTTAAAAAAAGAAGAACATAAAACCTCAGCACAAGATATTGTTTGTAATATTTAATAAATCATTACATTAATAAAAAATGTTTAGACATTTCGGCCACAATCTGACTATCTTCAGTAAAATAACAAATATCAATAAAACGCAGAATTTACATAAATCTGACATTAAATTCAGCCGTCAAAAATATAAATATATATAAACTTTCTTTCATCTTGTAAAGGTGCATCATAAAACGTGGTTGCAGCGCCATCACATTATCATATTACAAATTATATAGAAGAACAAGAATTTCCAGATTCTAATTTAAAAATTAAATTATCGTTAATATCTTCTAGTCAATTTTATAAGGATTAACAATTTGTTACCTGTTTTTTAGACAAAATGAATCTTAAGCACTTTCCTAGATTATTCTATAATTATTTTTAAATGTGAGAGATACTTCTTTAGAAAAGGCAGATAAACATCAGGCAAACCTTGACAATTCATTGGATTGGGATAATATTAGAATTTTAGATACAGAACAATTATTCAAAAGAAAAATTTCTGAAATGATATACATAAAAAGCCAAATAAGTAGTATTAATAAGCAAAGTGACACTAAAGGTTTGTCTGATATTTATCTGCCTTTTCTAAAGAAAGATCTCTCTCACATTTAAAAATAATTCTAGAATAATTTAAACTTTTGACATACATATAAATAGCAGTAACATATGACGATATGGACAAATAATAATACACAATGTCACGACGAATTTCCATCTGCGTGAGGAAAGTGCTTAAGATTCATCATTTTGTTTGTAAAACAGGTAACGAATTGTTAATCCTTATAAAATTGACTAGAAGATATTAATAAGATAATTTAATTTTTTAATTAGTATCTGGAAATTCTTGTTCTACATAATTTGTAATATGATAATTGGCGCTGCAACCACGTTTTATGATGCACTTTTACAAGGAGAAAGAATACGTTTTATACATATTTATATTTTTGACGGCTGAATTTAATGTCAGATCTATGTAAATTCTGTTTTACTGATATTTGTTATTTCATTGAAAATGGCCAGATTATGGCCGAACGTCTAAACATTTTTTATTAATATAATAATTTATTAAATATCACAAACAATATCTTGTGCTGTGGTTTTATGCTCTTCTTTTT